CTTAAAAGCTAATAGAGTAGAGATTAATTCTTTCACAAAGATTTTAGTCAGATCCTTCAAATCCTCAAGTGAAGTCACCTTTAATTCAAACTTGTCTGACATACTTACCAAAATCTTATTGACCATTCTCTGATCGGTGACTTTTTATCTTAGCATTCTGAGCTGATTTACCAGCTTCAACATTTTATCTGTATACTCTTGAATACCCTTATCTTCCTTCATCTTCATCACCTCAAACTGGCTTGATAAATTCATAATTTGCATCACCTTTGTTCTATCATTGCCTTGATAATCTTCTCTAATGCTGTCCCATATTTGGTTAAGATCCTTTAGATGCATAATCTTTCCAAGATTGACCCTAACATAGCTAACTGTAGGCTAATCAAAGCCTTGTATCTCTTTGCAACTTCCTCTAAGTGTTGCTTAATCTGAGCAAGGGTTAGATTCGCATGCCCCTAAACAAGCATCTCACCAAAGTCCACCGCATTCCACAAGTCAAATGCCTTAAGATATTATCGCATTTTCACTGCCTAGAAAGGGTAATTAACACCAATGAATACAAGAGGTGTAGCTACACTAAATCCAGTTGTAGCCATGTTGAAGTTGAAGATGCTTTGATCAAAAACAATTGTTACAGGTCCCTTAAGATGATGTCGCTCTGATACCATGTAAGACAAACTTAATTTTCAAGAATTTCTAGCAACAGAGGCTGAGAAGGATGAATAAGAAAAAATTAAAAATAAAGTACTCGTTAAAGAAAAATTAAGAATTTCATTGTTTAGAAAGATATACCCAAATAATGGTTACAAAATGGTATACATTCATTATAGAGAACCATTCCACATATGTAGCCTAGAAAAATGAAAAAGCCAACAAAATTGGATCAAAAGCATTGAAAATGAGAAAAAGTTTTCTGTGTTGTAACAGTTATAACAAAGAACAATAGTAACAAGCAGGTGACCGTTGGCCTATAAGAAAACAATCAAAATGACACTTATGAAGAGTGTTTAACAAGTAAATTTAAAAGGACTGAGTAAACAACACAATGAGATGTCATATACTCTTGTCAATAGCACTCCAAACAACAGACTTCTCTTTGTTTAACTAATAAGAAATAGAAACAGAAATGACATTAGTGGTCTTCATTTCACAAACTTGAAATGCTTAGAAAGCTTTTGTGACATCGTTTCATTTAGCCTTGAACCATCTTCCAACCTTCAGCTTCTTCAGTTGCTTTCTGCCATTTTTTAGCAATTGATTTCTCTAGGTTGAAGGTCACTTCTCTAACAGATCAATCAAATTTATCACTTTTAGTTGAGGAAAAAAAGCTATAAGCTTGGATAAGGTTGAATAGAAAAAGAAATCAAGACAAATTTCAAATATACATGATAACTAACCACAAGTCTAGGTAAAATTTGATGAATCTATCTTAAGAAATGAAGATATTTTGAGCAAGAAGCAAGAATCCCGCTCTAATACCATGTTAATAAATGGGGTTGAGAATTTGGGAAAGTGTTGTCCTTTTTCTATTATCAAAAAGAGGAGTATATATTCATGGCAGCTCACACACTAAAGAATTCTACTACCCTAGTATTCTGATATTTACAAATTGGAAGACAAAAAGAATTTAGCATTGAGAATGAGAAAAGAATAAGGAGTGGAAATATGTGCAGTAGATGGTGTATATGCACATCACATGCCATACTAACAGAAGCATTATAATTATAATTTGTACAATTAATCTCCTATAATGTCATGTCTTTTTATTACTCTGAATCCTTCAACTGATTAACACAATTAAGGCTGTTGATCTTTTGATAATAAGTACATGCATTTTGCCAAATCTTCTTCTTTTAAAAGAAAAAAAAAAGCCCAATAACTCTTGGGAGCTTGCATATATCTAATGACAAGAGAAGAAATGATAAGATAAAAGGATTTCAAATATAAGGGTGCCTAGATATTTACAATGGATGGGTAGAACACAAGGATGATGCAAGAATGAGGGAGGCTTTAGCAAAAGTGAAAGGAAAAACAAATTGCAGTTAGTAGTAAATGAGTCCAAAGATGTAAGATTTAACAAGAGAGAGACAAAGTTTTAGCGTTAGGAGTAAAAAGTCGAATGATCTAAAATTAGAGAAAGACAAAATTTTTATAATGTCAAATTACAAGTTATTTCATCCCATAATAAGATGTCATGTCCATAAAATAGTCCATACGAGAGAGAGAAAGTTATGACATTAATTACTTAATAGATATGTTATTAAAAAAAAGGTAAAATGGCAAAATCAATTAAATTAAAATGTATATTAAAAACAATTTAGTAATTTTATGTAATTTGTAAAGCATTGCAAATTATTCATGACAAAAATTAATAACTAATGGCATTGCAATGAATATGATGATGATCATGATGTGATACAAAATAATCAATTATCAACATTTGTGGTCATCTAATATATCGACTGTCATTTGAACAAGAAATTTTTGTTTCACCATGTATGTTTACAATAATTAGAAGTGTATCTGAATGTATATACTAAAATATATACATATTTAGAAAATATAGAACAATGAAAATTAAAAAAGAAAATTCTTTCCCTGATAAGTTGAAGGTGAAAGTGCAACAAATTAAAGGGAAAAAGAGAGAGAAGTGATGCTAATATCTATCGTATTCATCACGCGTGGAAAGTTAGTGGGTTTCGGTCTCTGTGCTAGAATTTGAAATTGATATAGGCTAAGTTGCATCAACTCTCCATTTGATAGGCTAAGTTGCATCAATCTATTCAAGGTTTTCAAGATGGGCTTTTTCTCTAGTAAGTCAAGAATCAAGATTATCTAAAAGCATATAAGATCCTCAACCGGTTCAGATATTACCAGCTGTACAAGTTTGGCGCAGTTGGTGAGTGGCAAACTGTCTCATCAGAAGCCCTCCAAATTAACAATCATTCATATTCAAGTCCCCATCATTAGCCACTTTAATGCATCCGGAAAATCCTTCATCCCATTTCTTAATTTCCATGCTCTATCACATGGAAAAATGAGCTATGTATTCAACTGTCAAAGCCTTCATAAACATCTACCAATACCTTTCATTAAGGCAATTCTCACATGATTTTTACGATTGATCATTAATTTGTTAATTGCTTAAAATATTCAAATTTATCTAGTTAAATAATGATGTGAATAGAGTATATATAGAGACATACTCTTGAATTCTTTTTAATATTACATTGTTGTGAGTTTTGAATAGTTCAAACTAGTGATTTTTTTTAGACTAAATAACATAAACCTTGCCTTTTTAATGTTACTACGAAGAAACAAAGCATCTAATATCATTGAGGAGAGTAGAGTGCAATTTAGTTATTTTAAGATTGCTTATATGAAACTAATTAATTAGGCATTCATAAGTCATAACATTCTCATTTGATTTTTATTAGCCTATTGAAAAGCCAAAAGTAGTGCTGATAAAGACTTACTGTTCTTGGCTAATAGTACATATTCAATCTACAGTTCTTCAATGTATAGAGAGAGTGATGATGTGAATATAACTTTAAGTTGACTCTTCTTCCCAACATTCTAAAACACTATATATAACTGTTTTGTAACACCTAATAATCCAGTTTGTTGAGAAATGTCCTCAACAGCATAATGGCTGCACACGATATGTACTAATTTGTTCTATCTAAACTAATCCCTTAAGTTTCCAAATGCATGCACAGTGTGTTTGATTATTGTTGTCATCAGTGAGTTGAATATGTTTAAATTGGTTCAGTTTTTTTTTTTGGGGGGGTGGGGGGTGGTGTGGTGGGGTGTGGTGGGAGAGGGATGGGGTAAAGATTTCCTTTGACAATGAAAATTTGATAATCATAAAATTTATGTTGTATTGATAATGATTTACTCGCACGTTTTGGATTGACAGCCACACGTGTCTATGTTTCTCCTTAATTTCTTCAGGAAGGTCACAAAAAGTTGTGTGCATGACTTTGATTGAGCACCTCATTTTGTATTTGTCTCTTACTTTTCTTATCACTAGGATTTGGTGGAGAATTTTTTTCCTCTTTTAACTATTTCCTAAATATAGATTTTCAGGAGAAAAGACCCCTGGATTTGGGGCTCAAAAGCCCCATCTATTATCTATATAGGTCGGACACCCCCTAAGGAGGGTAGGAGAACCATTTTGGAGCCAAACTCCGGGTTTCATGAATATGCATTTGCATGAACTCATTACTCAATGGCCAAAAATACTGAAAAAGAGATTACATTAAAAACATATATCTTCACACAAGAAAGATAGAACTTGCTATAGGGAGAAATTGATAATTAGGTAAAAAGGGATTTATGCCCCCACTTATTATCCTTTCAATTATTCAATCACTCGCTTTGTTTTTGTCATGCACAATTCAGCCAACAAATTAAAGTCCACTAGCTAATAGACAGTATGATGGGAAAACACATTTTGATTCCAAATATACTAACTTTTGGACTGTAAGATGAAGTATGAATTCTATCTCTCTGATGCAGTGCTGATCGTTTTTCGTTCTACTTCTTACTTTAATTCCTCAAGATTACTATAAAGTCTGAGGGATCCAATATTTCCAAACTTCGAACTGAAGGATTTGAAGAGCATCTTGCTGATGTTGAAATTTTGTGAAGTTATGATTGTCCTTGATATGATGCAAAGCAAGAGGGGGGAAGAGTAGTCGTTCATTCAACATGGTGGGCTGCGCAGTGGTCCTAATTATATATTAGAATCTTAGGTAATTAGACATTGGTTGTTGTCACAGTTCCAAGGGCCATGGCGACCTGCCTTTTGAGCATCAGCTCTGACCCACTCACATTAATTAAAACAAGCAACCATTTTAATTACTCCATTTTTGACTAATAATTCATCACTGTTTTTGGTCATAAAGCCCATTAGCTTTAATTGTATTAGAGCATTCCTACTTGCACAAAATTTGAAATATTCCATCTTCCTAATTTCCAATATATATCCCCCATTATCTTCAAAGGCAGTTGAAATATCATATCCGAAGATAATTCTAGGGCACTTCCCGTTTTGTGTGAGGACAGGGATTTTCTCCACTCACCTAGCTCCATTTAGCCTCGTCTAACTCTTCATCAGAGAGCTACACTTTGCAGCGTAAAATTCCAAAAAGAAATGGAGCCATGAATCATGATCCAATGGATCGAAATGGAAGCATCATATCTATATATAATTAAACCAAATAAATTTTAAAAAAATATATGCCCTTCTTTATGATGTTGTGGCATTTGGTGATTGGTGTACAGCGTAGACTGGAGTAAATCTTTTGTCTTCCAAGCTTTACCAAAGGGCATGAAAATAATGGTTAAATAAGGGTGATGATCGCCCTTTCCATGGACTGGACCTGTGCCACTGAACCTTATAAATATACAGGCTAGGGTTAGGGTTAGCCATCAAACCGCATAAAGGTAGCTTTTCTTTTCTTATTTTTTTCCTTCTTGTTTTTCCTTGTAGCTTAATCAACAATGAGAGCTGGCTTTTTCCTTTAGCTCTCTTCTGGCGTTGGATGAGAAAACCATTGCCAAGAAACAAGAACTAGTCCAGGATTCCATCAAAGTACGGAAGAATTAGGGTTTCCAAGGGATGAAGAAACGTCAAGTGGTGCTGAAAAGTGGAAGAAGTTCTAGTACTTCATCTTCAGTGATTAGAAATGTGAGATATGGGGAGTGCCAGAAGAATCATGCGGCGAACATCGGTGGATATGCCGTTGATGGCTGCAGGGAGTTCATGGCAAGCGGCGAGGAGGGAACAACTGGGGCTCTAGCCTGCGCTGCTTGCGGTTGCCACAGGAACTTTCACAGAAGGGAAGTAGAAACTGAGGTGGTCTGTGAGTATACTCCACCTAATTCTTAATAGTTGATATAGCTAAAGAACACAAAATTAGGATAAAAAACGTCAATATATATATATATATATATATATATCAATTTAGCTGATTGTTGCTTGTAGATTAATGTTGTACTGGATTCTTATGATCAAAGAATCGCAAACTTCAAGTACTGTGCTCTTCAAATTTGGATGGTTAAGATGTAAGCCCTGTCAAAATTCAAAAATATTTATATATATAATTGTGTTTTTTCCACGAAGGTTGGGAGATGGTCGAGTCTTCCCTTTTCATTTTCATTCAAAATTTTCTTTATAATTTCCACCTGAATTCATTGTAATGGTGGTTGTTAGTTAGAGTTATTGGATGATAAAAGGAGAGGAAGATAACATAAAAGTTCAAATTATTTTGTCTTATTAGGTACTGGAAATCTTTAGGCAATCTGCAAGAACACACTCATAAAAAGAAAACAAAAGGTTCTATCAACTAGGTTCTACCATAATATGATGTACATGGAGGAAATGAAGTGCAAAAAATGAGCATATTACTATCTTTACACCATGATGCTCCTCATAAAGTTAGCAATCTGAATCTTAAGGTTAGATATGTATAGAAAACAATGCGGAGCTGGAACTCATCATGACCCAATTTATTTAGAATACCTGGAGAAATTCATGATGAATATTAATACTTTTCTTGCTCGTGAAGCATGAGCTGTCTTGGCAGTCCATTGCAAGTTATGTTTAATTGAATTTGATGAGGATAATCCCTGGTATTTTAATTATTTTGCAACCTCGACGTATATGCAGTGTGTGCATCAAAAAAGGGATCAGACAAGCTAAGCTGAATGAAAGTATTAGCTTTAAACTGTTTCGTCTAGTTGATTAAGTCAATGACAAAGTCTATAAACATGTTTCACTTATGACAAAACAGCTAGTCTCCTTAGGAATAGATTCTTGATGCATCGTTTTCCAAACTCCTAATCTTTGTCATCCTACTCTTGAGTTCTAGTCATTCTAGTTTGTTCTTGCTTCATGTTTTTAGCTTCATTAACAACATAATTAAACATCTCACTTCAAAGGGGAAGAGAATAACAAATCAACCAATGGCACATACTCGAACAACACTTTTCATTTTTTATTATGGGAGGCAAAAGATGCATGGAAAGATGTATCCCTTCTTCAATCTGCTTTTGACAATGAAACAGGTTAAATAGGTTGTGTTGTATTGGTAAAGAGAGTCCCCATCCTCACCTTTTTTTTGGTTTTAATTTTATAAATTAAAGGAACCTTTCTCTGTGTGGTTGGATAGTTTATCCTTGAAGCAATCATTTAGCATTTGGAATATTTTATGTTTCAGAGGCCCACAGATATCCAATCATGTTATCTCCCATTTTTTTTAAAATAAAAAATTTAATAGTTCCTTTAAGGACACTAAAGCTTTTAAGCTTCAGAATATATAAAGCGGCTTCCTCTATTTTGGGGTCAGTGGGACTTAATAGAAAAGAACATAGAATATATTTAAGAGAAGAGATTACAAAGAACAAGTGGAAAGACTTCTCTCCATCCATTTTCTTGAAGGTGTTTGCACACTTCAAATTCGTAATATACTATATGGGAAAAAGATATGTCTAGGTTGCGCTACCCTCTGCTAATAAAAATTAATCAAATATTGTCAAAAACAGGAACTCAACTTCGCATCCTTAAGGGTCTAAATAAATGACTTGTCTATTTATCTGCAAGAGAATATGCTCAAGTGTTATATATATAGAATAAGATTTGCTTGTTAAACTCCCTTTTGAACTTTGTTATTAAGAAGTCAGAACATAAATTAATAACTTCATGTAAAATTTAAATCTAGAGTGCTAGAGATTGAAAACTACTACTTTGAAGAAAGAAGATACAGTATAGCATACAGAACGAGGAGTGAATTACACCAAGGACAGAATCAGTAGAAGCAAGATGCTGATAGATAAGTTGACCAGTAGACAATGAAAACTGTTTATGTGCTATGCTGGTTTTAGGATAATATTTTCTTATATATCTATAGATTCTAAATCAGACAGGCAACTTAATTTGTAAAATTTCTTGTCTATTATTACAAATCAAAGAATCTTAAAAACTTTGCACTCCTAGGAAAAAATTGGATTGAGAGTAGCCCTTTCCAGTACCAATATTTGATTAGTCAACCAGAATGCTGATCATACCACATCTTGATCCTGATCCTGATCATGTGGAAGTGTTGTAGGACTATCCAGCGTGGACAAACACTATAAAAATAATTCACATGCCTTTATTTGATGCAACTTCTGGAATGTAGCTGTATCGTCCTGGCCCCAGGATATGAGCTTGCCTAGTTTCTTTTTGTTCCCTTTATTTCTATGCCGTCAAGGGTCTCATCTCATGCCCGTGTGAAATGTTTGTCAAAATGACAATTGAAGGAAACTAAGTAAACGTAAAGGAGAGGGAAAGGAAGGTCAATTGGTTCAGTGCTTTAGCAGAATGTTAAGCCTTAAGAATCTAAAGAACCTATCTGATGAACTACACTGTCGGTTCATTGTTCACACCAAGATGATTAATGACAAATCAAATGTTTCCCTTGACTCATACTTAGTGTGTATGCATATGTATGCATGTGAAATGTGGGAAGATTGAATGAGAAAACAAGTTGCTTGAAAGGCATTCTAAGTCAATATTTTCCATTTAAAATCTTAACAATAAAGGGCGCTCAGACTATGACAGGCTGATAGCGTGATATCCAGATATATACATCATATGAAATGAATATTTGGGGCGAAGATGTATCTTAAACGGGAGGATTTTCGCTGCAAGTATATTTTGAGAGCTAGAAAATACATACTTGGTATGCGTTATTTTCTATTATGATTTTATGATGTTAAGCTGCTTTTGTATTCGAAAGAACCATGCATAAAATCCACAGCTCTACGTAGCTTTATTTTTTAGTTGGTGTCCTAATTTGCTTAACCATTACGTATGTTCATTAATGTCCTTTGTCATCCGTCTTAGAAGGAAGCAGCAATATTGTATTGAAGAACGCTATCCGAAGTTAATACGAATAATGTCAGAGCAACTTGTGCCCTTTGCTTGTGGCGTAACCTTCTCTTTAAACATTTTACGATTAACGAGATCTCCTTGGCTTTTCCCTAGGATCCATTTTATATTCAGCTTCTCACATGTTTTAGATCCAAAATTGTTTATAGATGGTGTACGCACTATGATCTGTTTTTTTTTTCTAAGTTCTTGGAGAGAAGTTTAGTTTATTAAACTTAACATTGTTTAAACCACATAAATTCTTCTTTTCTTCGATACTTCATTATGTACCTGTGGTTGAAGTTGGAGACTTAAGATTAATGGGTTATTTTTGCCAAGATCAATATGAAATTTTGTAAACAAGTTTGATAAAGCATGCATTCTTAGTTTGTATATTCTTTTTCAAGCAAATGTAATATTCTCGTGTATATAAACATTTAACTAAATGATAAGTACATATGTCTTTTTACTCAAAAAATAGATTCAAAATTAATTTTTCTTCAAATCAAAAAAATGTTTGATACTAACATGTATGATTTATCCTTAATGATCAATAATCCTATAATTCTTAAATCTTTCCGATGATCATGGTTAATAGCCGGATGAAAGAATATTGAATCCACTATTCCCTTCCACTTTGGGACTATATACTAAATGCATCCTATATATTGATGCTGAGACCAGTTATGCTTCCGGAAAAAGTAATTTTATTGCCATGGTTCATCTAGATAAACGGTATGTGAGCTTATTCCTTAAGCAATTAATTGGCTTCAGCATCATGGAAGTGCCAACGGATGGAAAGGATCAATATGAATGCATCCTGGTCCTGTCCTAACTGTCTTATTTTATATATGATGGGCTAAATGGGTCTACCGGGCTTCATGCCCTTTCTCTCAGTTTGAGGCCCGAAATTGATGGAGATAATAATCCCAGGGAGACTGAGGGGAAGAAGAATGAACCAGGGAGATAACACAATCCCAAGAGCCATCCTTTTTCTGTTTGTTGTGTGTGATTAAGTGAATGCAGTGATGGAGAGATTGTTATATTAACATGGCTACTCGAACTTGAAGAAACAATGATACAGGCCGAACGTCCAAGTCATAAAAAATTCACTATCCCAATTTCCGAATGTTGTTGGGGAACTGTCAAAGAAAGAAAATGAAAATCTATATTGTGCAGCACAAACTACCCATGCAAATTCAATGGGCTCACAGGGCTGGAGAGTTGGAACCTGTTCGATCCACAAATGCGGTGCCAGTGCCTCCATTAAACTTATTTTTAGAAGGCAACTGATGAAACTAACCCATATTTTCATGCACTTTTTCCCCTTTGTTGATAGGGCAGCAATTCATCTACTTGTTTCTTTGCTTTCTTGCTATTTTATCTCGTTTTGCTAATGCCAACGACGCACGAGTCCCTCTCAGTCATGTTATTAGTACTAGATAGATACAAGTTGTGCTCCAACTTCGAAGCTTATAAAGTAAATATCAGCATCAACTTCAACTACCCCTGGTCCATTTAATCAGCAATTTTTTTTTTCTCAACCAAAGTAGGATTTATTTATATCTATGTCGCGGAAAGTTACAGTGACAAGAGATCAGCCCATGCTAACAATACACCATAAAGCACCTTGTGGCGGTATAGACATTTGCCACAACACACATGATAAAGAAAGAGTAGCATAATCCTACTAAAATAAGGCAGAGCCGTAAAGCACAAGTGATAGCTAGAGAACAAAAAGAGCCAAGAACATCATGTGACAGCGGCAGGAAACCATGAACTATTTACCATCATGCTGAATACATAGTCTTTGTCCACACCATATTTGGCTAATGCATCCGCAAATGAGTTCCCCTCATCCAACGTGTGGGCAATGGCTACTTCACCAATAGACTACATAAGATTGTCAATCCCATTAAAAATGTACCATTTGTTCCATGGTTAACAGTCAGCTCATAGCATCCATAAGACCACTACAGTCGAGTCTCACCCAATGATTAGTTTCCTAGTGCCTACAAATGAGGAAGATGCAAATAAACCGAGGGCATATTTTTTCACCATAATCTCTGTGTAGTTGATGTCCTGAGTACCAAGTGAGCCAAAGAAGACACCAATACATAAATCTTGGAGTCTCTATGGACCCCATCACATACTGTCGGTCTCAATTTTCTTCCATTGAAGCCATCAACCTTAAATTTATACTTGTTGGTCC